AAATGTTCACAGGGTAAGCTGAAGAAACATGCCTCTCATGTTTTAACATAAAGCTTTATTTCCACTCTGGTGTAATTTTTAGTAAGTAGCTAATCTGTAAGTGTCAAAGCCATGTCAGTTTTTGAGTGGGATCTGTATGTGGATTTACTTGACTTCAAGGTCTGAGTATGTTGCAAGGTTTTTGGCTTGCACTAATGTAGCTGCTGATACTTGTCATTATTTCATGAATGCCAAAAGTTTATTGACAGCTAGTATTTGGCCTCATTGTCTCTATTAGTTTTTTTGGTTTTTTCCTCAAGTAAAGTGTCTATTACAGCACTAAGTCTACTTTTCAGTTGCTTTAGTGTCCCAACAGTTTTTGTTGAGACTCTGCATTGTTTGGCAGAAGCAGGTATTGTTCTGTTACTTGGTCCTTGATGCAGTTCAGGGTTTCTTGATTTTAACATGGGCTGAGGGGAAGGCAGATGCCTTTCTGATAGTAACTTTGTTATAAATGACACAGCTGGAGAAACAGACAATGACACTAGCCGTCCCTGTATCTGGGGCTGTGCTCTCTGCATTGACACCTACAGCAAGTTGTTTTTAATGTTTCTACAATTCCCTTCTGGTACCTAAAAGGGTTCCAAGAGAACTGAGAGGGACTTGAGGCAAAGATATGGAGTGACAGGACAAGGGGGAACGGCTTCCAGCTGACAGAGGGCAGGGTTAGGTTGGATATTGGGAAGAAATTAATCCCTGTGAGTGTAGCTGGGCTGGGACTCTCCTGTGCTGCAGTTAGTAGGACAGTTGGCACTAAATCACTTTCTCACAAGCAACCTTTTCATTCCTTTCATCGGAGTGAGGTCTCAGTTGTATCAAATGCATAGCCCTTCTTATTTCTGCTTGCTTCAGTTTTCTAGATGAGCTGCCCATCAGTTACTTGAGAAAGCTTAGGTGTGTTGTTTGGACATCACAACTGTTTCCCTGGCTAATGGGATTGTCACAGTGCACTGAGCTGTTCAGTGGTGGCTCTTGGTACAGCTCCTTGAGCCAGTGTGAATGTAAGGAGTGGCTTGAGCCCACCACGTGGGGATTGTGGAGTTGATTTCATATGTTCTTTGGTCTTTCTTTGGTCACTCTTCCTATTGTGGAAGCTGTTCTCTTTGGGTTTCTTCAGTCTTGATTTACTGCATCATCTGTTAACTTGCTGCTTTGTTTTCCTTTTTTAGGTGTAGGGATTGTGGACCGGAGCAGTTGGTGTAAGGTATCAGCAACTGGTAGGAAGAGAGCTGGAGATAAAAGCCAGAAATAAAGGATTGTGAAAAGTGTATACAAAACTCAGCTGTTTTATTCCTAGTGTTCTGCTATAATGGTCTTAGTTGTAGCAAATGACACTCCTTCCAATAAAGATAAAACTTACCTGTAAAACTCACTTTGTGAAAAAGGAGGATTAAGGTTTTTTAAAAGAAAAGTAAGTAAAAAGCAGCAAATCCTTTAAGACAGAGTGATTGAGAAGTGACATGGACAGGCAGTGCAAAGCTCCCTGAAGCAGAGATGGAGTCTTTACAGAGAGCTTATTTAAGAGGAAGGAACCCATCCGTTTTCCTTCCTGAAGTTTAGGGACCATCCTGTGCCCCCCCCAGCTGGAGAAGTTTGAAATTTGTAAATCCACACTTTGTTCTGAAGAAATCTTGGCACCTTGGCAAGACTTTTGAGTTGGCCAAGACATCAGTTGGGACTCCTTCTGTATATTTCTCTATTTTATAGTATGTTGTTAATATAACCTTTAGAGTATTGGAACATTTCCCCCATGGAAAGAGTTTGGTTTAAAAACAGGCATTTTCAGATCGATTTGCTTTCTCTGAAAGGAACCGATTATAGTGGATATCATGGAATAGGCAGGAGTAAATGCTCATCCATATGCTGAGTGTTGGTGTCCATGGAGTTTGGGTTAGGATGCAGTGGCAGGCAGGGACGGTGGTGGTGACAGGATCAGGATGCAGTGGGTGACAGGGACGCGGAGGTTGCAGGGTCAGGATGCAGGGGCTGACAGGGATGCGGAGGTTGCAGGGTTGGGATAGAGTGGGTGACAAACACAGAGGTTGCAGGGTCGGGATGCAGTGTCGGGCAGGGACGCGGAGGTTGCAGGGTCGGGATGCAGTGTCGGGCAGGGACGCGGAGGTTGCAGGGTCGGGATGCAGTGTCGGGCAGGGACGCGGAGGTTGCAGGGTCGGGATGCAGGGTCGGGCAGGGACGCGGAGGGGCAGGCCCGGCCCCGGTGCAGTGCGGTTGTTCGCCGCTGGGGGGCAGCCCAGCCCCGCCGTGTAACCCGATTCCCCGAGCGCCAGGTAACTCCGGGGTAAGAGAGGGAGCTGGGAATGACAGCGGGATCTTGGAGTCTTTGCTGAACGGCTGTAAGAGTCCCACACGGGAGCTGGGAGGTATAGCAGGGTCTTTGTTTCTTTACCTAATGGTTATAAGAATCCATTGGTTCGCCTCACTGAAGTTCCTGCAGTTCTCAACCTCCTCACTGAGCATCCTGCAGAGCAAATCTTGCCTGCAGGCATTTCCTTGGTCTCCCTGTACACTTGCATTCCTAGGCTGATAAACTTTCCTGACAGCAGGAGCCATATGGCAGAGTCTACAAGTATGTGAGTGACCTGTTTCTTGGTGAGCATGGGATTTTTCTGGTGTGTGAGTTGGAAATGGTGCCTTCCTACTGCCCTGGAAGACATGCATCCTGTGGATCAGAGAGGACACTGTCAAATTCTGGCCTGTTGGCTTGCTTTCAGTTGACTACAGCCTTTCAATATTGGTAGTGAATGTGAAGGTCTTTGTGGGAGCCCCATCTCTGCTCAGAGCTGTCCATGCTTCTTATCAAGGTTGCTGACCTCTGCTCCCTTCCTCTGCACAGCACCAAAATTGCATTAGCTTTGCAGATGGGCTTTTGCCATTTTCCCCTCCATTGTAAATATTTAGTCGTTATCCCCCTGACCATTTACCACATTCTTGTATTTTGTTTAGCTGTGTCCTTCCTTTTGGTCACATAAAAAGTCTTTTCTGTCTCTGCAAATACTTAATATAATTGTAGAACAGTTTTGCAGTTGCTGTAGGCCAAAGAGTGACTCTGTTCTGGTTGCCTGCTGTCTAGTGTTCAGGACTTACATCATCCCGTGTACTTCAGCTGTTTGTCCATATGGATTTGCTCCGACTTGAAGAGCTGATGGGTGGTAAAGGAAAGGAGAGGCTGGATCCCTGCAGGGAGCGTGCACGAAGCCATATGTTGGAATTCCTGGGTATCTGGTGCCCTCTGGAGACTGCTGCTGCCCACGACATAACAAATACCAAGGCAGCACGTTAATGGATGTCCCCAGTCTGAGCAGGCTGAGGAACAATGTGAGCTTTATTATTCTCACAGCAGAAGTGAAGGATACTAGAAAAGACAGTGGAGGAAAAGCAAGGACTCTCTAATAGCAATTACATGTCTTGTAATTCTTAAAGCTAATGGAGGCTGACAGATGAGTTTCATGGTTATGCATATGAGCCTGTGTGTTTCAGAAATGAATATGGAAGATAAAACATGGATGTTTGAAAACAGTATGGTGATCTTTATGTATTGAGTTGACAAGAGAGATTAAATGTTTATATTAAATAAATTCAGTTAGCTGGTCTGAGAGGCCAGCCAGTCTAATGGGAAAATGTGAAAGTCTCATATCAAATCTGGAACTGGAATCAGGACTTCATCACAGGTTTAGTAAGGAAACTGGCTTTTTTTGTTACTTGCTTCAGCAGTAAAATCGACCTTGGTGCCTTTTTAATACTGAAATGAGGGGTATGAGAAGTGGTATCCTGCTGCAGGGAATGCTTTTGTCATGGTTAGGGAACCTGCTTTCATTTTTCCAGAGTAAACCACCTGAAACAGAGGTAAACTTACGAAATACTGCTTTACTATGAGATTATTCTTTTCCTTTGGGCAAGAAGATGCAGAGTGATAATTCCTTTTAGCTTACTACTCTTGAAACAACCTTCCTGCAGAATGAGAATATAGGAATTCCATATTTTTCCCTAGTTGCAGAGAAGAATGCTCGATAGGCTGAGGAGGAAGAAAATCTCAGTGTTATACTTGTATGTAGCTATTTTCAGAGTTACTGTTGATGCCCATCAAAATGGTGAACCTCAGTACTGTTGTTTGCTCATGGCTGCATGGATGGATTTAACCCAGGTATGACAGGACACCACTCGATTCCACCAGCTCTGAGTCCACATCGTTTACATTTAAGTCAAATGTTACTTGATGCATGTCTCCTGCTGTGACTCATTCAACCAAAGAGGGAGGGCACTGTGCATCATCCTCTGCTCTGCTCAGGGCCTGGTGGTGCCCAGAGGTGGAAGCAGGACTTGAACTCCAAGCTGCTTACAAGAGACAATACTTGACCAACTTCTTTATGCCCTTATTTTTGTTGTCCGTAGGAGTTTAAACACACAGGAAATGGTAGTTGTTTGACATGAAGCAAGTGAGACTTAAATTCTTGTGCTTTTTCCTGCAGTTCTCAACTGTAATAATTTTTTTAAGGTTGGCTTTTTACTTTTAGCAGTGTGTGGTATTTTTGTACCTTTAAAATTTATAGCCAGAGACTGCCTCTGGTACTGCTAAGCTATGTGAAGTGATTAAACAAGCTCAATAAGGAATAATGCTGCTGTGCGTCTTGCTGGTGAGATTTGTGGTCTTTGAGAAATGGGAACATGCATATCACTTAATCTCTCTTCCTTGCTTTCCTTCCTTTCCAAGAAGCTGGTACACTTGTGTCACTGCAGGAAGCATTCTGTGACTGCCTTGGTTTGCAGTGGTAATGAGCTTGTGGAGACCTACAGCTCTCAACTCCTCTTTTCTGACTATAATCACGATTCATGGCTGCTCTTGAGTTGGGTGTTTCCAGTTGGGCTGCTTGTTCCTCTGTGGGGTTTCTGTGGTTGTTAGATATGCTGGGTGGTGTATGGCATTCATTCTCTTGTTTTTACAGCAGGAAGGTGAGATGGAAGGTGAGGCAGTCGAAGCTATTGTGGAGGAATCAGAAACTTTCATCAAGGGAAAAGAGAGAAAAACTTATCAAAGACGCCGCGAAGGTGGGCAAGATGATGATGCTTGTCATATACCACCAAACCAGGCGGATGGAGGTGAAGTAGTGCAGGATGTCAACAGTGGGGTGCAGATGGTGATGATGGATCAGCTGGATCCAACTCTTCTTCAAATGAAGACTGAAGTAATGGAAGGTGCAGTGCCTCAAGAAACAGAGGCTACTGTGGATGACACACAGATCATAACACTTCAGGTTGTTAATATGGAAGAGCAGCCTATAAACCTTGGTGAGCTTCAGCTGGTCCACGTACCTGTACCAGTGACTGTACCTGTTGCCACCACATCTGTGGAAGAACTTCAGGGAGCTTATGAAAATGAGGTTTCCAAAGGAGGCCTGCAAGAGGGGGAGCCCGTGATCTGTCACACTCTCCCTCTACCAGAAGGCTTCCAAGTAGTGAAAGTGGGTGCAAATGGTGAGGTGGAGACACTGGAACAAGGTGAACTTCAGCCACAGGAAGATCCCAATTGGCAAAAGGATCCAGATTATCAGCCACCAGCCAAAAAAACAAAGAAAAACAAAAAGAGTAAGCTTCGCTACACTGAGGAAGGCAAAGATGTGGATGTCTCTGTGTATGACTTTGAAGAGGAGCAGCAGGAGGGTTTGTTGTCCGAGGTCAATGCAGAAAAGGTGGTTGGCAATATGAAGCCACCTAAACCGACAAAAATTAAAAAGAAAGGTAAGAACATTCACTTGTTATGGTGGGACCTTGCAGTGTGGTTGAGGTGACTGAGTGGGAGGAAAGCAGACATGCCCAGTGTTGCTTATTTGGTATATAATGGTGCTCAGCTCCAGTGTTTCTTGGGCATATTCCCTTCTCCTCCACCTAGGCTGTGAGGGAGCTCATTGTCCTCGGGTGTGATGCTGTGACATTGATGTTCCCATATAACCAATTGAAAAGGTTGTTCTCTTTGCTGTAATACACATGTACCAGTTTGTATACATATGGTTTACATCAGGAACCAACTGTGTAATTAGTTCTGTGGGTTTTGTCCTAACCAATTGCTGGGTTAGGTAGATGGTGCAAAATAATACAGTAATAGGTGTGTTTGATTTTTGTTAAAACTGTGAGTGAAGGAACTGTTTTTAGCGTGGAGAAGGAACACTGAGTGCTGGCATACTAATGAAAATTGAAGCCAAACCAGCCACAGGCAATGCTGTTGGATTTAGTGGTACATGGTGGTTCCTTGCAGTAGTTACACTTCCAAGAATCTTTAATTTTCCCTGCTGGTCTCTTACATGACACAGTAGACCAAAGTACTGTCAAAGACTAAAGATGATTCTTTTCATGACTAGGTGTAAAGAAGACATTCCAGTGTGAACTGTGCAGTTACACTTGTCCGCGTCGTTCCAACCTGGACCGCCACATGAAAAGCCACACCGATGAAAGACCACACAAGTGCCATCTCTGTGGCAGGGCTTTCCGGACAGTCACGTTGCTGAGGAACCACCTCAACACTCACACAGGTACTCTTGGGTTTGTGTATGTTGTTTTTGTAGGATCTACTCTGTCATTACAACAAACAGATTCAAGATAGATCAAAGGAGGAAACTCTGCAGTTTTCTGTCTGGCCAGGTCTGGTGCAGAGCTTGTCCTGTTCACACATATGAAACTGAAATATTCTGTATATACCTTGGGCATTAGTACTTGTGTTCTCAGCTTGGCATTGTCACTGCAAAAAGTACAGTGAGAATGAGTTGAGTTAATGAGTGAGAAGTTAAACATAAGGGAATTGAAAATAACAACAAAAGAAAACCTAACCCCAAGGAATAGATTATAAACTGGATGAATAAAACTTACAGATAGGAATTGTAGCATATTTCTGTTGCTCCTTCCCAAAGTTTTGGGTATAAAACTGCAGCTAATTGAACTGTGAATATACTTAAGCTTGTGCTTTTCTGACCAAAAAAGTCATGAGTGTCTCATTTTCTCTGCATAGTTAAATTATGTCTTACTGGGTGGTTTCAGATTTGTAAATAACCAAGTGACACAAAAATAAAGGAAATTTTCCTCACTGCAAGGACATTAATTCTCTAAGATCTTCAATCCATTAGTTATTTGTACAAAACCTCTTACTTTTGTGTACTATCTGCTGTTCTAATCTTTCAGAACATGAAAGCAATGTTGCTAATTCACTTTAAAAGCAAAAACAAACAAACAAACTTGTCCCATGTTTTCTTTTGTTACTAAATCTGAGTGTCGTTATGGATTAACTTTTGCAGCCAGGACGAACATGCCAGGACCTTGGGGTTTTATGCTATACCACCTCAGCCATGTGAGGCAGGAGTTGGGGATGTCAGGCTCAGGAATTGTTTGCCTGTCTTGTACAATCCACTATTAGTATAGTTGTTACTGTTCATTTTCTTATTTCACTGCTGTTTCTAGTAAATGGTTCTTATCTCATCCTGTGATCTTCACCTTTTGTGCCTTCAATTCTCTCAGTCTTGCCGCAGGGGGAGAGGGTGGGAGAGAGAGTGAGTGAGAGAGTGGTGAGTGAAGTGTGGTCTGGAGTGTTTCAAATTGGGGAATACAATTGCTAAACTGTGACAGGGTGTTCCTGTTTTGCTGCACACCGTTAGGTACTCGCCCTCACAAGTGCCCAGACTGCGACATGGCCTTTGTGACCAGTGGAGAGTTGGTTCGGCATCGCCGCTACAAACACACCCATGAGAAACCATTCAAATGTTCCATGTGTGATTATGCCAGTGTGGAGGTATGTTAGTTAATTGTTACACTGCTGAATGCTTCCTCGTGCACCTCAAAGCTTGTTCACCATCTGTTATAAACCCTGTTCTTCGGCATTTCCTCTTCAGCCATTTGGTTAAAAGGCTGTGAGCGAAAGAAGTTATAAATCAGGGCTGCTCTTGGAAGCAAATGGTGGGGTTTCCTCAGTGAATCACAAAGCAGTTTGAGATAATTCATGCACAGAAGTCCTAGGTTATACCCATTTCTGCTTCAGAGACTGTAGTTATCATTGTTTCTTAAATGATTTGGCCTTTGAGATGGTTGCAGGAATTGCAGTGTGCACCTTGTTGAAGGAGACAGCCATGTCCTGCTGCAGTTGGGTGTCCTTTCAGACCAGAGCTGCCCTCCCATTTTAGGAACATGCACTCTGCACATAATCTGTGTATGCCATGAAGGTGTCTGTAGCCAAAAGTAATGAGCTTTTACCTCGGTTCTGGTGAAAAGCAACTTTGCTAATATTGGATGATTGTCTAATTTGCTCAGGCAAATTAAGCTTCCTTGAATGCTTCCCCCTGCCTTGTGCATGGTGTTACATATGTTACAGGGCAGCTTTCATGTTGTGATAGGAAACTTGAGCCAGATGATGAGCAACATTCTTTAAAAAAAAATGGGATGTCTGCGGTGGTGAAAGGCTGCAGTGGGAGAGCTTGAGTAGGGACTTTGGGCTGGTTTTGTTTTTTTCCTACCCACACTGTGGCTGCAGTGCTGTAATTGCAGGCCCTGAGGTTTGAGTGCTAAATAAATAGTGTTGCAGTGGTTTTCATAGTACGAATTGGCTAAAAATAACCAAGTTGGTCCTTATGTGAGGTCATGATGCTTTTTGTAAGCACAGGTTGGTGATTGAGCAGCATGGTCAGGCTGGAGTAGAAAATGCCACACCATTGGTGTTCTTGCTGACCTTTGGGCTGGGTTTGTGCCTTCTGAATAAAAGCAGGAGAGGAAAGGAATTAAGCTTTCTCACAATGCTTCCTTGTGTCTCTCCAGGACACTTTCAAATTTTAGGGAGTCTTCAGATGCTGAAGTGGTTGGTAACAGTAAGGTGAGCACAGGAGTCAAAATCAGGCTGCACTGAGTGTGGGAACAAGCATTAGGCAGGACTGAGAGTGAGGTGGAGAGGTGCAGTGGGCAGGAGCGAGTGGCTATGTGCGGTCTGTGAAAAGTGCTCTTTTTATTTTGTGGCAAAATGAAAACAGACTACCTTAAACCCTTGACTGATTTCTTGTACTTTTGGCAATCTGACCTGCTCATCTGTGCTAACTTCAGCATTGCTCTTGACTTGCAGGTTAGCAAATTGAAACGCCACATTCGCTCTCACACCGGAGAGCGCCCGTTCCAGTGCAGCCTGTGCAGCTATGCCAGCAGGGACACCTACAAGCTGAAGAGGCACATGAGGACCCACTCCGGTACTGATGCCACGTTTCCTTAGTGTCAGAGTGCTGAGGCTGTGTGCAGTGTGTGCTAACAGTTAAACAGCAAAAGAAATAGTGTTTGGTGGTTATATACTAACCCTTTATAATGTCTGTAGCTGAAGAGAATGCACTGTGGTTTGTAAGCACTAGTAAATTCATAACCCGATGAATTACTGCACTGAGAAATGAGCTGGGAAGATTCTGATTTCCAGTTTGAGGGGCAATAAAATGTACTATGAACAGCAGAAGGTTCTGTTTTCAGTGTTCCACTTAGCAGTTAAAAATTAGAGCCATTTAGAGTTTCATGCTTCAGTGTAGTTTCAAAAGCATCTCCGACACGTTAGTTCATAAAGATGCTAAATTTTTTCCTCAACAGAATTAGGGATGGTTTTAGCACAAAATGTTACTGCTGTGCCAAATTAATTTTATCACTAAAATTGAAGGGGAGGGGAAATGCCCTTTTATGTATACATGAACATTCAGAGCCCCCACCCCAAAAAAATCTGATGCCAGTTGCTGGTTTCTAGCAGCCTGTGTGTAGGTCTTGCCTGCATTTCTCAGAGTAAGAATAATGTAACTTGCTTTAATATTGGACTCAAGTTTCTTTGTAGAAAGATGCTTATTGGAGCTAAAACTTGTAGAGAAAGACATTATAGAGCTCGGTGTGGAGTTGCTATTCTACTACTTAGCTGCTTAGTTTCTGAGAGGTTGTTTAAGGCTTCTTGGTGAGACTTCTTTTTAATAAAAGTACTTGTGCTGTTTTTCCCTTCTGCTCCTGCAGGAGAGAAGCCATATGAATGTTACATCTGCCATGCTCGCTTCACCCAGAGTGGTACCATGAAGATGCACATTTTGCAGAAGCACACGGAAAATGTGGCCAAATTCCACTGTCCCCACTGTGATACTGTTATAGCCAGAAAGAGTGACCTGGGTATGTATCTCCCACAAGTGGATGTTTGCTGAAGGTGGTGCAAAACACTTCCCAGCATTAGAGTTCACACAGCCCAACTGCTATCTCTCTTAACCCAGTACTTGGTAACTGCACCACATGGAGCACAGCTTCAGGTGTGGTGCTGGTAACACACACTCTTAGCTTACCATAGCTTATGCAAACTATGACAGTTTTCAGTTTCTTGTCATTATTTGAAAATACAGTTTGGAAAAGCAAATTTTTTTTCAAGCATACAAGGCAAGTTCTTGTTTTAAAGCCCATAGATGAAAGGCATTTAATGAACTTGGACTGGGATTCTAACAGCATAAGGATTGGGGTCTGAAAAGCCAGAAGATCACTTGGCTCAACCCTCTGCAGTTTTGGAGGCCATTAAGTTTCATGCAGTGCTATTTTCATCAAGCTAAAAGGTTTGAATTAGACCAAATAGTTTCATTTTCCAGGATGTGGAGCTGTGTTCCACAGACAGGGTAGGAGATGTGCTCACAAAAGCCCTGAGGTTCTTGCAGTAGGACAATGTCAATGTAGTGAGCAGTACCCAGTGTGATTCTAGCAGGCAAACTCTTGTGTTCTAGAAGGTGACAAACAGTATCGTGCCCAGAGCAGCTGAGGAGAAGGAAGGAGCCATGATTTGGCAGAACTTTCAGTCTCTAAACAGAATCATCACCCCAGTAATGGGAAGGCAGGCTCCCTTCCAGTACAGACAAGTGTGAAGTGCTACAGTGAGAGGATGACAGTCAACTGTGTCAGGAGCAAATGAGCTGATTTACAACAGAGGAAAACTGATGTTGGCTATGAAGAATTCTTCTAATGATGCTTTAATCTACCCTAAACTACCTCGTGCAGCTGTGGTGTGCTCTTAGTTGGGGGATTTTAAAGAAGTGACTAAAATCTCTGCCAGAGATTATCTACTGCTTTCCCTGTTGCCTTCTAGTCCTGCCGCTCTGACTTCTAATCCTGCAGAAAATCCCGTTTCCTTCAGTGAATTACCTGGCTTCTGGCTCTATCCAGAGAATTTGGGTTAGTCTTAAACGTAACAGTCCACAAGGCACTTTAGTTTGACAGTCGTATGTTATCAAATGCAAGTGTCCTGAATCAACACAGGTTGTGACCGATAACCAAATCTGGAATCCTGTGGAAGAACTCGATGGGATTTTTCTGCAAGCTATTTCTGCCTAAAATCTGTTCTAGTTGGTTTTCACTATGAGTCTCTTAGGCTTTTAGTTGAATCCTAAATTAACTGTGTTACTGTTTTGGCTGAGCCTGGGGGGAGGGAAGATCACTAAAGGGCTGTGGGCTCATCTTTCATGTTTGGAAAGCCACGGTGGTGAGAGCCTCCAATGCTTTTGCTCCCAGGTGTCCATTTGCGGAAGCAGCATTCCTACATCGAGCAGGGCAAGAAGTGTCGCTACTGTGACGCTGTGTTTCACGAGCGATACGCCCTCATCCAGCATCAAAAGTCTCACAAGAATGAGAAGCGCTTCAAGTGTGACCAGTGTGATTATGCCTGCAGACAGGTAAGCTGGTGGGACTGACACCTCTTATGAGTGTTAGGACAGGAGCTAAAAATATGAGGTGGAAGTCTTAGCTCTCAAGTTTGACCAGCTGTCAAGTTCAAATTAGCTGTCTAAGTCTTTTGAAGGGTGTGAAGGGGAAGTTCAGTGGCCTTTTCTTGGTGTGATGCTGCTCTAGCTTCTGATTCAGAGCCATGATGTACCTGTTGACCAAGAGATATAGGTCCATGTAGAATCATAGAATGTTAAGGGGTTGGAATGGACTTTAGAAATCATCTAGTCCCAACCCCCTGCCCTAGGCAGGGACACCTCCCACCGGACCAGGTTGCTCAAAGCCTTATCCACCTGGCTTTGAACACTGCCAGGGTTGAGACATCCACAACCTCCCTGGGCAACCTGTGCCAGTGTCTCACCACCCTCGCAGGAAAAAACTTCTTCCTAATATGTAATCCAAATTTTCCTCTTTCAATTTATCCCCATTACTCCTTGTCCTGTCACTGTAGTTCCTAACCAAGAGTCCCTCTGCAGCTTCCCTGGCGCTCCTTCAGACACTTGAAGCCTGCTGTGAGGCCTCTGCACAGCCTTCTCTTCTCCAGGCTGAACAGCCCCAATTTCCTTAGTCTGTCCTTGCAGGAAAGGTGCTCCAGTCCTCTTACCAACTTTGTGGCCTCCTCTGGACTTCCTCCAACAGTTCCATGCCCTTTGTCATGGTTTAACCCCAGCCAGCAGCCAAGAACCACGCAGTTGCTCACACTCCCCCCCAAGGGGATGGGGGAGCGAATTAGAGGGGTAAAAGATAGAAAAACTCATGGGTTGAGATAAAGACAGTTCAATAGAGGAAGCAAAAGCTGCACACACAAGCAGAGCAAAACAAGGAATTAATTCACTGCTTCCTGAAGACAGGAGGTGTTTAACCATCTCCAGGAGAGCAGGGCCCCATCATGCATAACAGTTCCTTGGGAAGACAAATGCCATCACTCCAGATGTTCCCTCTTCCTCCTTCTTCCTCCCACCTTATATACTGAGCATGACGTCATATGGTATGGAATATCCCTTTGCTCAGTTTGGGTCACCTATCCCAGATCTGTCTGTCCCAATCTCCCATGCACTCACAACTTCCTTGCCAGTGTGACAGTACGGAAAGCAGCAAAGGCCTTGACTCTGTGTAAGCCTTGCTCAGCAATAACAAAAACATCTCTGCATTGTTAGCTCTGTGTTCTGCACAAACCCAAACATAGCCCCATACTAGCCTCTGTGAAGAAAGTTAACTCTACTTCAGTTCAAACCAGCACACCCTTCTTGTGTTGGGGACACCAGAACTGTGTGCATTACTCTAGGGGGGGCCTCACAAGAGCAAATTAGAGGGGGAGAATTGCCACCTCCAGCCTGCTGGCCACACTCCTTTGGATGCAAGAGAGGCTTGAAGTAGCTAGGACTGAATGTGCCACCAATCAGGATGTTTCCACATTCCTGTGAAATCATCTTTTTCTTGATATTAAGCATAAAGTTTTGGCCTCCTTTTAGCTGCAGATTTGCTGTACTGTATCCATATGTGAGTTCTCAAGTTATTTTTCCTGTCTTGCCTGTCCATGCCAGGAGCGGCACATGGTCATGCATAAACGGACCCACACTGGGGAAAAGCCTTATGCCTGTAGTCATTGTGATAAAACCTTCCGCCAGAAACAGCTCCTCGACATGCACTTCAAACGATACCACGATCCCAACTTTGTCCCTGCTGCCTTTGTCTGTTCCAAGTGCGGCAAAACATTCACTCGCAGGGTAAGGGAATGCACCATGGCGTTTCGGGGTGGAGTGGGGAGCTTAGGCATGGCTGGGGGGATGTTTGCCCAGAAGGAGAGGTGGGTGTGGTACAGGGCACAATATTGGTCTTTGAAATAAAGCCCTTTTCTCTGGGAGGAAAAGAAAGGGCAAAGACCTGGTGTAATTCAGAACTAGTACCAACACCTGTTATTGTTGACATCATGAGCAATGCAGAAATGCAACTTTATTCATAAAGATAATGAAATGTAATTGTTTCCCCCTGAACAATGTTTGTTAAAAAAAAAATAGACATAAGTGACAGAAATGTGTTTGAAAATAGAGACAGAATGTCTGATCTTGAATTCAGTGCATGTTTTGATTTTTTTGTTGTGTTTTTTAATCTTCCACTGACTAGAACACAATGGCCAGACATGCTGATAACTGCTCTGGCCTAGAGGGTGGGGAAGGAGAGAATGGAGGAGAGACAAAGAAGGGCAAACGTGGCCGAAAGAGAAAGATGCGGTCTAAGAAAGAAGATTCCTCTGATAGTGGTAAGAACTTCCTGAGAATTACAGGCCTGTGATTCACTGCATGTGTTAGCTTTTGGTTTGCCAGTTCTGCAGGTTTGTTCTGGCACTTGAAAGAGTTTTATCTGGTTGGCAAACAGAAAATTATAGTTTGTGGCCAAGTACAGAGGGATGTACTGCCTGGGAGAGATAATATAGATCCTGCTGTCCCAGGCCTCGTCCAAGTCAGAGTAGTTTCAAAAACAGTCTGACACCCTTTGTGTCAGCTGTGCCACTCCTGCCCTGCCAGCTCTCTTCAGTATGGGAAACTGGGAATTTTTCCAGAGTCCCAAGAGAAACTGTCTGGCTCTGGTGCACTGCTGTGCAATGGTACTTGTTCCTGCTTCACCACTACTGGGTGGTGTGTCCAAACAACCCCAGTGCTGAATAGCTTGACTGCTTCCATTGGGGAAGGCTGGCAGCATCCAAGGGAATGGTGGAGATATGCTATTTGTGAAGGAAAAAGTCATAGTCCTCTCCCCTGGTAGAGGGAAAACTTCATCATGTC